CTCCGAAGGACGACCGGTGCGTGGCTGGTCTTCCAGGCTTTCATTTCCTTTCTGGAAGCGACTGTACCAATCATAGGCAGTGCTCTTGGACACAGTGTCTGGGCCAAACGCGGTATTGATGTCAGCGATGGAATTGGCTGCCTTCTTCTTGATTCGGAAGTCATAAAGAAGAAGCAGGCGAACTTGCTCCTTAGTAAGAGGGTAGGGCTGGTTCATGGCTGGAGAGCACCAGGGCTGTAATAATATATGGTTGTATGCCGAAGGACACGACCTACTTATCAACACACGCAGAACATTCTAGCATGCTCTGGAAAAAAATTGTACTGGATATTCAAGAAATTCCAAGAACTTTCTTTCCAATCAGATATATCAGGTGGCAAAAAGCAATCTGGATTGTCATTGCAGTAACAATATTGTCTTGTACTTTATTTTGTGTTGCATTTTCTTTGCATAAAAAACTTATTAAGAGTGTAGGCAGAAGACAGAAGTCTTGTATTTTAACACATTGACTGCCACTTAAGCCAATGTGCTGACAGAGCCATAAAGTGTTACAGAACTGGGCAGTCAATGGCTAAACCCAGTTCTTCTAAAGAGGTTGCTGCCTACTCAAATAAGTGCTCTTCGATTACATCACTGGCTTTATTGTCATACTATGCTGAGAGGCCATTTAAAAAAATGCTCTCAACACACAAACCATGCCTGGGTGCTGCAGCACACAGGTGCAGAATTGCTGTAAAACACCATCCAGAGACATGCAAATTATCTAACATTGGTGAAATGCTAAAACAAGTTTGCCAAATTGATTTTTGAAGATTCAGTCTCTACATGGCTTCACAGTCAAGCACTCAAGAAAGGCAAAGTGGCTTAAGAGAAAAGGAAGACAAGTCTGATGCCTCCAGTGATGCCATCTGCTTTTTCCATTCCACAAGTGTTCCAGAAGTTTTCTCTATCACTTCATCTTATGACCTTGAAACTTTCCTTGATAATAAACGCCATTAGGAGTTTCAATTCCACATTTCACTTGCAACACTAGCAAACTTCTAGTGCTTCTTTATGGCGATTAGTTGGACCCCTTCACATTTGTTAAGTTCTGTTAAGACTCATCCTCAGTCCATGAAACCTTAAATAATTTCATTGCACACGATTAGAAGAGTGCATGCAATACATTTAATCCAAGTTGCTCAATTCCATCTATGTGCTGCAGTTTCAATTGTGGCCCTTACAAAAGTCTCAATTTTGCTTTCCAATATTTGCATTTCACTGTCATGCACAATGAAGATGATGGTGTTAAGATGGAGGACTCACAGTTGGGTTCCTAATGGCACAGGTGAGGCGAAAAAGAAGGGAATTCAAAAGTCCACAATATCTGGGCTGCAGCTCAAGATTGATGGCTGCCCGGGCCAACCTCAGAAGCCCAACATTCTGACAGCCTGTACCCGCATCTCCAGGATGCATTGTTGCATGCCTCACAATGAACTGCACCATGTACCTTTGCAAAATGTAAAGCGTAAATTAAATTTCACGAAAGTAAAAAAGAAAATATGAATTTTAAGTTTCTCCAAGAGACTTCAACTTACATATGAAGGAACACCTTATAATAGTATGCTGCTTCCCACATGATAATTTCATATAAGACCATATATGAAACAGCCGTATATTAAACCAGTCCAACATAAATGGGGCATATATGACCATATAGTGCAATTCATATATGAACATATATGAAACATGTATGGGGTTTGACACAAGTCTTATGAAATCATATGAGAATTAAAATATATGGTCCCATATATTTTCATATATTAGCTCATACAAATGCACTATATATGCCATGTCATATTATTTTTATATATGGAGCCATACATATATTTAGCCAGTCTGACATATATGGGGCATATATGACCATATAATGCAGGGGTCGGGAACCTTTTTGGCCATGTGAGCCCTATTTAGATTGAGCTAAGTGCTTGTGAGCAAAAGGTTTTCTGAAAAACAGAAATTTTCCAGATCCATGAGAAAAATGAGAAACAACCATGATTGACAGCCATGACTTAATGAGCCAAACTTTTCGGCTTGTGAGCCAAATTTGGCTCATGAGCCATAGGTTCCCAACCCTTGATATAATGCAATACATAAATGAACATATGTGAAACATGTATGGGGTTTGACACAAGTCACATAAAGTCATATAAGAATGAATATATATACCCACATACATTTTCATATACTGGCTCATACAAATGCACCATATACTGTCCATACGTGCCATGTCATATCTATGTATGGTGAGATCACCCAAAACATGGCTGTATCAAAATACTTGTACCCTGTCATACGTGGAATTTTCACGTGGGCACCATACATAGATATGACATGGCATGTATGGACAGTATATGGTGCATCTGTATGAGCCAATATATGAAAATGTATGGGGGCATATATTTTCATTCTTATATGATTTTATGTGACTTGTGTCAAACCCCATTCATGTTTCACATATGTTCATACATGTATCATATATGCTCCATATATGTCAGACTGGCTAAATACATGGCCATTTCATTTATGGTCTTATATGAGATTCACAAGGAATATGTTGCACTAACAAATAATGACAAATGAAAAGATTTGAATTTAAACCAAAATGCAAAAACCTTTTTTTTTATATTCTACCACAGCAGTAGTTGATCACTGATTTTCCTGTCTTTCAATTTTTTGTCTTAAAATCATATAGATATCTCATTAATATCAAAATTGCATTATTTTTGGGTCAAACCAAATATATATCAATCGGAAGTTGAAATGCACATTATTTATTTATTATCCCCTAACAAAATTACACAGTAATCCTTTCAATAAGATTTGGGAGAGTGAGTGAAACAGGAATGTCCTATTAATTTGTGCAATATTCCCAAATAAAACTTGCCACATGCAGTCAGAACTAATACCCCTTCCTAAGATTTTCTACCTTATGTTTAGGATGATTCTACTCAGAATTGTTCAGGTTCACCTTTGATACAGGTGATACCTTCGTGACATAATTCCAGTTTGGCACTGCTTAGAGGCACAATTCCAGTTTAAGAACATACACAAGACATCTAAAAAAATGTTCATCTCACCTGGCAATAGTCTCAGTGGGGAACAGAAGTGATTTTGGCAAAAACCAGGATGGATCTTCCCATATAAGAATGAAGAGCTTCATCAAGTACTTCCCTTGATCAGCATTCAGATAAGGTGCTTTAGGGATCTTGAGGGAATTGAAGACAGACAGGAGAGAAAGTAGATTCTCTCCATTCAGGTTCTTCAAATGAGTTTCAGGCCATCTTCCAACATATTGCTCTCCTTTTCCTTTGGCCCCTTTCTGACCACCTTTGTCCTCTAACTGGACATTCTTCCTTAGTTGGGAGTCATCTTCAGGTACATCTATCACTAGGTCTGCATCAGTACCTTCAGAATCTTCACTTTCCAACAGACTTTCAACTTCAGAATCTGATGAAATATCGCACAGCACAGACCTGTGTGACTCTTGGGACATCGATTCTTTCTGTTGGACAACCTTCACCTGGACAGCATTTTCTGAATCAGTTCCAAATAAGTCCAAGACACGGCTGCACTTCCTCTTTACCCAATCTTGGCCAGACTTTTTGGTCAAACTTGATGGGCAACTTACCCCATCCAAAGATTGGGTCATCACCTGTCCTGCTACCTCCTGCAATTTTTCCTCTGCCATCTGCAGAGACATTTGATGACACTTATTTTGAGATGTGATGAGAAGCTCTTGCTTGTCTTTCTCTGTCTCAATGCCTAATGTGCCCTTATTCTCTGTATATTCTACATTGCATTTATTAACCTTTTCCTTTATTTGTGCCTTTTTGTTAACATTGCCTTCAAACTGAAACTCTTCCTCTTGCAAGGACTTGTGGCTGAAATGCAGTTTATCCTCTTGTTCTTGCTTCTTGGGCTGTTGCTGTTGCTGTTCCTCTTGCTCATGCTCCAGATTGTGCAGAAGCTGCTTCTCAAACTCTTGCTCCTGCTTCTTCTTGCAGTCTTGTTTCTGTTCCATCTCTTGCACCTTCTTCTGCAACTGTTTCTTCTTTGTTTCACTGTGTTTTTCATGCCTGCCTATAGGCTTCCTTAGTGCATTAGGTTTTCCTGAGTCAAGGCCAAAAAGTTCTTTGATATGCTGACCTCGTCCACTTTCTTGAGACTTTACAGAAACAATATTCATGTCAGAAAACCATCTCTGAAATACTTTCTTCTTCTCTTCCCCCTCAGTAGGGTTTTCTTCTCCTCCCACATGCATATCTCTATCCAGAGGCTCAACTGACTTTTCCTCAGGCTTGCTGTCTGATATGGCTCTCCTTTTCTTCTTCATTTCTGTCTCCATTCTCCCCTTTTTCTTTGGTGGGCAGTCTCTCTCATCCAACTCATTATCTGATAAACAATGATATGGAGCAAAGCTTGTCAATGGTTTCCCTGCCCCAACCAAAAATCCCTGGTCCTCAGATCCTTCTGGTGGTGTCATACATTTTGTTCTTTTTCCATTCCTCTTCTGAACAACTGGGTCTGGTTGCCATGATGAGACATCAGCTTTCAATACAGACTCATTTGGTACAACACGCTGATATGATGATATGATGAGGTGCTGATAAGATGCACTCATTAGGCGGGATGATCTTCGCTGGGATGGTGAACCGTTTGGTGACATAGAAGGATGCAGTAATTGTCGAAGACATGAAATGTCTGGAAGTGGTGACTCAGAATCATTGCAAAGTGGTTTACAACTTGAACATCTATGACAAGACTGCAGGTCGGGAGTTGCATCTGAAAATTCTAATGGATGGGATGATCTGCAGCCTGAAGGTGGCTTGGATGATCCATGGGTGAGTGGTGATTGTGAATCAGTAGGAAGAGTGGACTTATAAGATGGCTGAATATCACATGATGCAGATGATGATTCCAAGGAATGAGCTGATCTGCGATGAGATGGTGATTCCCTAGGAGGCGGCTGGGAGAGACGTGGAGATCTACGCTGATGTAGCAACTTCTTATTGAATGCCATTTGATGAGATCGCCTCTGTGTTTGAGATTCAGTATTATTCTGCTTTTCAGAAGGTATTCTTATCTGTTTTAGGGTCCCTTCCCCATTTTCACCACTGGTACCTACATTAACTGATGATGATGGCCTTTGTAAGTCCTTGCAGAACTTTGCAATGGCAGAATCATTATTGGCTATTTCATGGCTATTTCCTAATACCCTTTCATCAACAGTCAGCTGATCCAGTGCCCGAAGCTTTGTTTTGGGTGAAGGAACCTTGGTCTCATTTGCACAAGGTCTTTCAGAAGCAATACTAGTTCTTCTTTTGGGAAAAAGCACTTCATGATGATTAGGACCAGAAAATATTTCATGAGCAAAGTCATGGCTAGTTTGGACAGAAGGCAACTTAAATTTAGAACATTGTGAACTGAAAGATCTTTTCTTTTTAGCTACTGGGAGGCTAGCAGTTCCATCAAGAATCTCACCACTTCTACAACTGCTACAAGAAGAGGGTAATGATGCAGCAGCTGGAGTGGGCAATTTGTCCAAATTGCTTGGACCTTTGTCATTAGAATCTAACAAAGGAGAACCTTTATCCTTTTCCAGACACTGAGACATGATAACAGATTCACCTGAGGATGCTTCAAGTACTGCATCCTTCTGAATGCATTCCCCAGAATCAGCAGGATCTATGGTTGACTTCTCATCAAAGGAGTTGCCTAATCTGAGGGAATGGATAACAGAAAGACGAACCGAGTGGGGGCTACTACGGATGCTGCAGCAGATCACTGATGGACGGATCAGTGACTCACTGCTGCTCCTTCGTTGTCTTCTCTGCACTCCAGTCTCTCTCACATCAAGGGATTCAACTGATGAACTTCCTTGAATCTGCTCATCTCTAAGATCTTTGTATTGTTTAACTGGGCTCAAGGAACTCCGTTTATTTTCTGTTGGCATCTGGATTGGTCTGACATGAGAATGCCAAGTGTCCTTACCAGTATTTTCATTACTTCGCACTACATTCTCTTTCATAGAAGAGGATTCAACAGGTAATACTTGTGGAATCTGCTCTTCTCCTTGGTCTTTGGATGGCATCAAAGTTGTGTTTGAGTTTGAAGATCTCAACTCTTTTGTGATAATCCTATAAGGCTCTGCATCAGATCTCTGAGCATCCTTTTTGCAGTCTTTATTTGAAAGTTCTGACTCATTATGTGCCACTTTCTCCTTTTGGTCTCCTGTGGGTTCAGGGATGGTATTTGATGCAGATTCCCCAGTTTTGGCCACTTCGCTTGGGGACTCAAGCAAACAGTCTATTGTTTCCTCCTGTTGGTCTTTGGTGACTTTAGAGAAACTTTCTGATGCATTATTCTCAATACCATTCCCTTCTTGAGTTGATTGATCAAGACTAGTTGTCTGTTTCACATAATCCAATAACCTTTCTCCTTTTTCAGACCCCTGTATTTCAAGCTCACTTGAACTTGTCACTATTTCAGGCATAGGAGTAATACCCTCAGAGGAATTCTCTTTTTCTGCTGCTCCTGAAGACACCCTTTGAGCTTCTTCATTAATCTTGTTTTTGTTCCCTGTGGTGTCATCTCTAACTTGAAATAGGCTCCCTTGATCCATTATGCCTTTTGTTTGCCCAAACTCATTGCTCGTTTTTCCTATTCTGGTATCTTGGGAATGCGAGAAGGCATGAGATACATTAAGCATGGATGAAACATGGGTGATTCCCATGGAGAGATGGAGTGCTTTGGTATCAGGCACCTCATGAGCAATCTCAGATGTGGGGAAAGAATCTCCTATTCTTGAGAAAACTCCTCCTTCAAAATCTGAAGATTTCCCTCCAATGTGTAAATGTAGGGAACCTAATGGCTCATTGGAAATATCAGAGGTCAAAGATATTTCTTGGGTCATTGCCTCATCTTCTTCATTTGAGCAGAAGTCAAAACCTTCTGAGTTCAGCCTCTTCAGTGAGGGGTGGCCTGGAGATGGAGCTGGGGAGACTGAGAGAGGAGAAAGTGGATTCAAATTGACTATCATGAAATCCATTATATCCCCCAAGCTGATATTATGATTGGCATAAGCCTTTCTAGCTATTATTTGTTCAGTTTCTTGCGATAGGGAAGCTTGAAGTTGGTGTGTTAGGCCCTCCTTCTCTTGCTCATTTTCATTACCATCATCATGATCCGAGTCTGAGAGTGATTCCATAAGAAAAGACCATGAGCTGTCAATGTTTCCAGTCTCTTTATGAACCACAGCTCCAAGGGTTAGTTGATCATTGGCCCTTGCATTTAGATCTCGAGGATTCTCTTCATGACAAGCATTCTGCTTCTTTTTCTTGACACTTGAATCCTTGGGTGAAGGATTTGATGAAGTCATGAACTTCAATTGAGAAGACTGCTTTTCTTGAATCTCAACTGTCTCTCCTCTTCCACTCATGACAACTCCTAAATTTTCATTCTCAATGTGACTTGGTGCCCAATCTCCTATTCCTAACACATGTAAATTTGTTTCATGGAATGAATCTGCCACAACTTCTTGCTCATGGGCTGGATCAGTTTGAAGGATTTCGATTTCTCCTGTGATCATTCTATCCAAGTCTGTTGTAGATTTTTTACTACATCCTTTTGACTTCCTAGCCCTTCCATGCTTCTTCACAGTCACCACATCTGCTTTGGGATGTGTTTCACTGACTGGTTTTGATATGGTTTGAAACTGGATGAAGATATCACTATCACCTTCAATGCAATGCAGAGGAGCTTGAACAGGAGGAGTGACTGAGGGTGGAGCATTCTCTTCAGGTTCTTTTTCTGTCACAAATTTCTCCAAATGTTTGGCACTTGAATGACATGGGAATTCCTTACCAAATCCTCTTTTTCTCCTTCCCTCACCCCTACCCCTCTTGATAGACTGATTATTCTTCTGGGGTGTTGGTGTATTTGGACTGCTGCCAGGAGGATGTTTCACTGTCACCTTATTCTCGCTGTCATTTTCCACATAACCTATATTATTCCCCTGTAAATTAATAGGCAAGCTTGTAGGAACTTCTGGGATGTCAATCTGCTCTTCTGCTAGGTCAATGATCTCTTCTATTGCTGTAACTTCTAGGTTTTGAGGGTGAAGCTTGACTATCTTTTCACATCCCTCCAGGAATGAGACAGAATGGGAATTCAAGGAACCTATGAAGAGGAATGGAAGAAGAATGAATCCCTTCCCTGTATGACAATATTAAAGGAAATTCTCAGCAAAAATTGATGTTTTGATGTCTGGAATGTAATGTCCAGAGCAAATAGACCACATTTTCACTATGAAGACATGCACTTTAAGTATGATATCACTTTCTCTTCAAATCATTGTGTTAGTTCAGAGACAAAAATATCTACGAGACCCACGCATGGTATGGTTTACATGGTTCATGAACGTGAGTTCAAACAAAAAGAAATATTCCTAGGTGTATGGATATTATGCCTACCATTACACCAAAAGCCTCTGTTAGGGTGGTCCCATACAGCAAGATCATATATATGGTAGTTATATGCAATTATCTGTGCCATATAAATTCATATATTTTTCTTGTTTTGAAATATGAACATACAGGCATATATGGTTCAAGCAAATGATCCATATAAAGATTATTCATACATTAAACATACACAGGCAGCACTTACAGGGTGTTCCAAAAGTAGGCTTACAGTTGCATATTTTATTTTTATTTTTATTTGCAGGTAGTTAATAGAATCAAATGCAAACAAAGATCTTTGTGACAAAGTGTGTCACAGTGTGGCAGACAGACTCCAGGAATGTGTGAACAATGAGGGCAAACTCTTTGAGCATCTTGATTAACATTTCCATGTGTTTCTCTCTCTTACACAGTTCATACAACTGTATACCTACTTTTGGCAAACCCTATATATTGTATACAAAATAATTCTGTGATTTGAGGGATGGGCTCCTGCATATATGATGTATCTGGTTTAAGTAAATGATTTTTATAAAGGACTTTTATTTATTGCATATACATGTTCAGTATGTATGCTTTCCATTAAAAAATTTATTGCTAGAAATATGTATCCCATATGCATAATGTACAATATATAATTTACATGTGACCATGTGACAGGGATGTCCCAAACTGGTTGACTTATCCCAAGGTTCTTTATGGGATATTTTAACCCTTTCAGTCCTGAATTACGTTCTAGGCAGTAAAAAAATATGTCATGTACTTTTGGGCTTCAACAAGGCATATGTAAAATAAAAGTGCTTTTAAAATGGTAAAATAAAAATTTATTTAATTATTTTCAAAAATAATTAATTAATTAAAGTATATTTTATTAGTTCAACTAGTACTCATATCCTTATTTTATGTTGTATGTTTCCCAGCATTCCTGTACTACTTTCCATTATATAGCTCACAAAAACATAGAAAAAATTGGCTGGGAAAGAAATGTATTAGATGAAATAAAAGCAAAAGAAAACACCATTTTTGAAGTGCTGGAAGAAATACAGCAGCTTCATGTTACTGTGGACTGCTGTCAACTTGACAATATAAGGTGAACTACTATAAACTGGGACTCAGAATCCTGTCATGGCCTAAAGGTCGTGCATTCCTATGTAACCCTACAACATATGGGAAGAAGAGGCAGGACTTCTGAGTCCTGCCCAGACTTGACTGCCCAGACACATCTTGAGTTGGATGGTTTCTGACACCTTGAAAGGAATGTCTTCAGGACTTCTTAGAGATGTCTTTTAGACATCTTCAGTCAAAAAACATCATACAGAACAACCCTTTACAAATAAACGGTTGTCCCGCATGGCAGGAAATGAGTCCATTTCAGAACGAAAGGCACCCAGATATTTTGACATTGCTGAGAAGCCTCTAGTAGTTATCTCAGGGACTTCTTACTAGTCCCAAGGAGATAACTCTGGGATAATTTTGGGGGTACTTGTGCTTTTGTTAGAAATGAATATTTTTTTATTTTCACAAAAGTGACAGATGAAGATCCAATTCTCAGCTTAGTTCCTGAAATGTAAAAATTACATTTGAGAGAGACTTGTGAGAGTAACATGATTTCATGTATGTTTCATACCTGACTTGGTCATGTCTCTTATCAGGTGTGACATATAAGCCCCTCTATTTACTAGACAGACATACTATGTCATACAAGTATCTTATCTGCTCTTCCATATCTTTTACATACATGGTTTTGATTAAATTCTTATATGGCCTTGCCATATATGATCATATACTAATTGTTTCAATAAGACAATAGGATCAGGTATATATATATATATCCATAATTGCTCATTTTATATCATATATGCCCATTTCTTATAAAATCATATATGATTTTTCTGCATAGGCTGTGCCACCTGGAGATGCGAGTCTGACAAGAATATTCCAAGGTAATTTTATATGGACCAAGAGGGTATCCCATTCAAAACTTCAGCCATATCATGGATGAAAAGCCCTTCCAGATGTAGTGCTGTACCGAGGGGGATCTGAGAGGTGTTCCCACATAGGACACCAACAAGAGGGGTGCCAATGGGTTGACAAAATGCTACAAAATGTTAAAGAAATCCATTAAAAAATTGCAAATTATGATGAATTTAATTTAATTAAACATAGAAATCAACACATAATGTATTGCTGGTACTGGGGAAGCTGGAGAGGTATGGAGTGGGGGTTGGATTGATATCTCACACAGGATATCAAATTTCCTTGGTACAGTGCTGCACAGGTGACAGATGCTACTATTCACAACCTCTGAAGTACTATCACTGCAAAAGCAAAGAAACAGGACTCACTTCTTGGAGCATCTTTGAAGCACTGGATGATACCTCTCACGAGGGAGGAGGTTGTGCTACTCCATAGCTGTTCCAATTCTGACAGAACAAGTCACAAGAAATGAAGTTACATATAAAATTCCAAATAGGGAATGCCTGACCTGACCAATACCCACACCCTTAAAGGGGTACATAATCCATACATTCGTTTTTCCTTTCTCATGCCAACTTCCTTGAAATTTCAGTCAGTTTCTGATAAAATGGAACCAGTGGAGGGGGGAAGGAGGGAGGGGAATAGAGGGGCACAACTGAATACATGGATGAAAAAAGGAAACTGAAAAGTTCATTCACTGCTGCCCTAGAGTTCTCCCACTTTTTTCATCCTCAACACACTTTTGCAATTTAGGGAGAGTAGAGGTTTGGGAAGTAACTTTAAAAGGTTATACATAGCTAATTTTTCATGTACAATGTAATGAGTGAATAAAATATTACTTGCAGAGGCATCAGAAAGTCATGGCCTTCATGTAAAAACCTCATGCAGTGACAGCAGGGAGTGCAGTTGCCACCACCTTCCCCCCATGGCATCCCCTGGGATGGAGCCTGGTACCCCCTTAGAGGTATGATTTTTCTCCCCCAATATCACTTGGTGGGGTTTGGGAACTCCTCTCCCTTGGCTGCCCTACCCCCTCTGGCCCATTGACCTCATACTGCCTTCACTAATAACCATAAGACTTGCCTGTGGACATTCACCACATGTCAGACATGATGCCATTAGACCATAACTTTTGATATTATATTATAGATAATATATATTATATACCATACAATTGATAATATATTAATACAAATATGGTGGTATATGGCAAATATATGATCATAAATGGTCATATAGAACCATACACGCTGTCATATATGGAATTTCCATAAGGGTAGTAGAAATGAGAGAATTTAAAAATTTTATTTGAAGAGCCATAAAATTTTGCATTAAAGTGAGGAACTGCACCACACCTGAAGAACCACTAAGGCATTTGAGCGGTGTAAACAGTTAAAAAATAAAATAAAAAGACTTTCAAAATGACCCCATGATCATCAGCTTTTATTGTGAAACCAGTTGCAATTGCCACTTCAGAATTTCTCTGAAAAAACAGTGTGCTGGTGCGACATCTCCAAGATGGCTGCATTCCCCTCTCACTGGTGCATTTTAAAGTGAACATTGCACATATTCTGAGTACATGAGATCAAGCAGTGTCAGAAATAAGCTGAATCTGCTACTCTAAAGGTGAACCACTGCTTTTGAGAGGTAATCCTCTGGAATGTGCAGTGGATACTCATGCAAGGCAACAAATTCACCAACACTAGGTTAATGCCTGTGAAATTAGAGGTGCACATATAAGAATGTGGAATACTGAAAACTGGTGGCTACACCAGCAAATGCTAAGAGAGCTTCTTATCAATGCACAACCGTCAACAAACTGGAAGCTTCAGTGAAAATATGAACAATGACCCCCTCTCCCCCCCCAACCGAAGAGGAAAGATAGGAAATGGGAAGTAAGGGTGGGCTAATAATGGGTGTCCCAAAAGTCCCAATCTATTTTTCTGATAAAGCAATATTTTCCTCAATGTCATATGCTTAAAGTGAGGGACCTCAATAGTGAGTAGCCAGTATCAATTTTATAAAAAATGATCATATTGTCACTGATAGGGAAAATTAAAGTTGTCATCTGGAGATTGGAAGTTATGACTTCTTACGAAATCCATACATGTTTTCAGCATTGGTTTGGATATGGAGGTCCAACTGTCAAAGTGATCAAAGAATTTAAGAGGACAAGGAGCTTGTTTGATGTGAGTTCAAAGACATGAAAATCTCATCCGAAAATTTTCAGTGGAACTGTCATTGGAAGTAGCCTTGTGAACATGATTGAAGATGCAGTGAAAAGTGGTTTTTGGCACCGCTAGTTCCACTGATGCGTGTTGGACAAATGTTCTTGGACTGCACTCAAAAGCATTCTGTACAGCATGAATGATGTCAGCTGATATTCTTCCTCATCTGCTCCAACTCTTGTCATGCGAGCTCCATGTCCTAAATTTATTTAAGTCTTTCATTGCTTCATCAGGTGGACCTCCTGTCCAAACTGATGCTGGGAATGTGTGGATTTCTTCAGAAATTATCCCTTCCAATCTCTAGGTGGCAACTTCTAATTTTCCCTATCAGTGACAATATGGTCACTTCTGCAAACTGTTCTATGAAAAAAAAATATAGCAACCTCAAGATGGTAGATGATCTAGTGAATTATTAAAAAAATGTCACTCATGGATGTTCTGTATAAAATTGCTTCAGTGTGCCTAGCAACCTGCTTTAAGAGAGCTCTGCTTAACCTCATATCTTCTGAACAAAAGGATACATCAGAGGGTGTTTTATAGGAGAAGCCATCTTGCTCTCATACAATGTGATGCACTTGTGCAAAAGTAGCAATCTGCCCAGAATGATTCAAACAATCGACTTTAAAAAGAACCTAGACTCACTTAACTGGGATTTTTTTAAATATGCACTGCAAAAATTAAACTTTGGCAATGGTATAATGGTGTGAGTGAAATTCTTCCATCAAGGTGCCAGATGTGCCATAATTCATAATGGGCATCTCTCTGGAAACTTTCAAATAGAGCATGGGTGACTACAGGGAGACCCTTTATCATGTTCATTATTGCAACCGAGTATTTAAAAAGAAAAATGCAAATCCAAAAATCAAGGGAACACATCTTGAAGGTTTGAACATTCAAATTTTTCAATATGCTGATGATACAATTCTATACTCGGATCAAACAGAAACTAACTTCAAAAATGGTTTGAAGCTAATTGAAGAATTCAGTAAAATAAGTGGGCTCAAAACCAATAAAGATAAATCAAAAGCCACATGGATAGGCTCCAAGGTTGGTTGCACAAACAAATTGTGCCCATAAGAACAATTAGTCTGGGTGAAACGTGGATTTAGACACAAAGGAGTCTTGTTTCACATTAAGGGATGGAGAAGAAGAAATCTTTGTTTGACAGGCATGGTCCTCCTGGTGAAAAGCTTTCAAGAACAAAATTCCTTAAAGAATTGAATATAATAATGTATAAGTTTCTTGGGAAAATGGAGCTGGATAAAATTTTTGAGAAGTCACTTAGGCACAGGAATAGAAGACTAAAGATGGAGGCTTGGAAATATTGCAAAGGAATGTATTTGCTAAGACCCAGAAATTAAACTGACTCAAAAGAATGATCTCAGATGGATCCTGACAGGCTCTCACAAGGAGAATTTTTAATCTGGAAGATGGGAGTCAATTTGAAAATTATGAATTTATTGAAAAACAAACCCATGTGAAAATTTCATATAAGAACATATATGAAATGGCCATATATCAAACCAACCCAACATATATGGGGCATACACATGACCATATAGTGCAATTCATATATGAAATATTTGAAACATGTATGGGGTTTGACACAAGTCATATGAAATCATATTAGAATGAAAATACATGGCCCCATATATTTTCATATATTAGGCTCATACAAATCCATTATATATGCCATGTCATATTATTTTCATATATGGGGCATATATATGATCATATAATGCAATACATATGTGAAACATGTATGGGGTTTGACACAAGTCACATAAAATCATATAAGAAGGAAAATATATGATCCCATACATTTTCATACATTGACTCATACAAATGCACCATATAATGTCCTTATATGCCATGTCATATCTATTGATATGTATGGTGACATTACCTGAAACATGCCTGTATCCAAATAGGGTCCATAATCCATCAAATACCGTATGATCATTCATATGCAAGTCATCATACCTTACTTGTAATCAACTCATTTTTAATTGCTCATAGACCACAGTCAATTACTCCAAGAACTCATGTTTCATAGTGTTCAACATATGCACCCTTGTTAATGAAGATGAAAGTTTCAATATTATATACTTTAACCTCCAAAAGTATTTTCATAAGTAATGCTATTTCATAACAAAACTTGGCATAATTATTCAGGTAAGAGTGTCTTTATCATCTTGACTGACAACTCACAAGATAGATGGGAAAAAAACTATTTCTTCCTTAAATAATCCAATGAAGGAATTGTTCACTGAAGGCATGGCACGACATGTGCCCCCCAAACTTAAAAGAAAACACATTAATACAAAGAAAATACGAAAATTCCATACATGACAGAGTGTATGATTCTATATGGTCATGTATGATCATATATTTGCCATACACCACCATATATGCATTCATATATTAACAATTGTATTGTGTATAATATATTTTACCTGCATTGCAATATTAAGTGTGATGGACAAATAGCATCATGTCTGATATGTGATGAATATCCATTGACAAGTCTTATGGTTGTAAGTAAAACATGGCATGAGGTCAGTAGTGCATATTGGCTGAAGAGTCAGGGGGGACAGGGCAGCAAAGTGGGGGCACCAAGCCCTGTCCTGGGGATGCCAGGGGGGGGGCAGCCACACCCCCCTGCCCCCTCCCTGGAAAATATGCCACTGCATGAGGTTGCTACACATGAGGGCAACTGACCTTCATATGCCTCTGTAACTATTGGGTTGGAAAGAAAGTCTTGCTACACTTTCTAAAACAATTTATAAAAATCTTCAAAGGAATGATGGGTGGGACTTTGCATTTGTATATGCTGGAATGTTCTCGAAGCTTCTGCCCTCGGGGTATACAGGGTGCGCGAGCTATTTGAGAACAAAATTTGACTTTGAGGAAAACAAAAATATTAAGTAGAAAAACCAATATATTTTCATAGAATTTGGTACATATGTTCTTACATACACATAACAAAAGACTATTCAATAAAACCGCCTTCAACCTCGATTACGGCCTCGATGCGGCTTCTGAAACGACTACATGCATTGATCAGGTGATTCTTATTTATGTTTGCCATAATGTCCCCGATGGCAGCCCTCAACGAGTCCTTGGTATTATGGGCATGCTTGTTGGTCTCCCTCTCAACGACGCCCCAGACGCAATAGTCATTTTATTGAATAGCCTTTTGTTATGTGTATGTAAGAACATATGTACCAAATTCTATGAAAATATATTGGTTTTTCTACTTAATATTTTTGTTTTCCTCAAAGTCAAATTTTGTTCTCAAATAGCTCGCGCA